ATCAAATAAATGCAGCCTTGATGAGCAGGAGACGTCTTTAAAAAACATTACAAGTCTTACTGATCCCAAACTATTGAGCGGTAGTGTATATAATTAAAATAACCTTATTACTAATGGGAAGATAGGAATTTTATCCTACAAATTAAAATTTAAACGCATAGTTTAAATATGTGAAATGGTTAACCATTTAAATCACTCTTATAGTTACAAACAGCTTGCTAAAAGTATTTTTTTTATCCTAAAGTATCCAATATTTTAAGTTTCTCTTTTCTTTTTCCAATCTATTGTTAAATCATGATCTCAAATCTTAATAGTAAGGTTTATAACAAGTTTAACTAAAGTGCCAACTCACTGTGACTGAGTGTGTACTGATCTCTCAGTTAATGAGGTTTCTCAGAAACATGTTGATGTCAGGAACACTTACTCACTGCTGAATCACCTTCATTTCTCAACTACAGTATTTACACTGGCTTATAAATGTCTGACACCACTCATCTAAAAGCTTCCGATTTGCAATTTGCATTTACTTGTTATTCACCAACAGAAAAGCCGTAGTCACATTACAGTCAATATATATATATATATATATATATATACACACATGTCTTAATCATTATTTTCAAATATGTTTTAAGGTATTTATTTTACAAATAAATGATTTATTAATTCATACTGTAAAAATCATTGAGTAATTGGAGTCGCACCACATGACTATTAACAACCAGAGCTAACCGTGACTTATCATTAAAGGACAAATATTACATTTTGACTTTTTTTTCACACTTTATTTGCACCACATGACTATGTTAGTGCTTAATTTGGTGTAACACACACACACACACACACACTCTCTCTCACTCTGCTCAGGCGTGTTTGATCCATCAGCCTGTGATTATTCACTCACTCATTGAAATGCATGAAAATGAGGCGCTTTATCCTCATTTTCTCAGGTCTCTAGCTCTCTTTGTCTCAGATGAATGCGCTGCACTTCACAGGAGCAGGTGTGCTGTCCAGGAATTAAGGGTTTTATTCGCCACTGCACGAATGTGAATATTCATCTGACCTCATCAAAAGAACAAGCTGTCTGAACTGAATTCAGTTATAGTCTGATATGTGCACTGAATCAAGAGAACACTAGGAAGTGAACACCCTGCATTTGTAGTGGCTCAATCCGGTTCTGTACATAACCGATTGCTGTTAGAGGAAATAAATCTTTAGACATTTCCGGTTTATAATGTGTTTCCAGCCAATCAGCTGCTGACATTCTATCCGGATCCATTTACTGCCAGCGTTTCTGAACTGTACTCATCTCATTCCTACAAAAGCCGCAAGTAAACCAACTTTAAAAATTAGAGACTCTAGGAAGACTTACATGAAGTTAGTTAAATTACATTATCTTTAAATTTCAATAAAACTTCTCAAAGCTGCTTTTAAATGTTGCTGATAAATAAAAACCCTGGAAATAAGTTAATGCAGTAACTCACATGAAATACTACGCAAAAAGTCTATCATATTCTGGTCAATAGATATGCATTGTGCTCCTTTTAATCTTTTTTTTTTTCTCTATCAAGGAGCAGAAAATATTAATGTTATAGTTAAACAGTGATAACGTGTAAACACATTGAAAAATTGCAATTGTTCATTACATTTTCAAGGCTTGTATGGCACTCAGATTAATGCATGTTTTAGATTAATTACTGCACAAATTAATGTAGTGTACATAGTTTTATTAAAGTTCATGAATAGAATCTGAACAGAGATGCCATGGAAATATTGTACATTCATCAGGTGCTGAGTAACAGTAAAAGAACTGATGCTTAAACACAATCCTTCGAAAGCAAAAGGGAGTGAATGATACGAGATGAAAGGACAAAATAATCCAGAGAGCAAATAAACAGCAAAAGTCAAACAAACATGCATTTATATTTGAATGAAACCGCCATACAGATGCATGTAATCCAGTGACATTTATAAAAATATGAACATACACATTTTATTGATATTTCTAAGTGCTTCTTTTTCTTAGTTTAAATACTTTGAGGAAGCATCTACATGCTGCATTTGGTTTGCGCTTCAATCACGTCTCAGTTACTCGACCACTGTATCAGAAATTAATGAGCGGGAAGTGAAATCCGTCTTACTAGGATCCTGACGTGGAATGATGCAGAGCAACTGAAGACAAACCACTATTAAATATAGAAAAATAGACTCCGACAACCAAAAGAAATTAAAGTATGTGGCCCTCGTGAGTCAAAGGCCAAAGATCAGTGTAGTCGATGTTAACATGTGTTTATCAATTTAAAGTCCAAGTGCAGAAAACATCAGTCATAACCCGCCACTGAACATGGGGTAAGGGTTAAAACGTCACAGAGCACCAAACGCGCACGTGTATAAAAGAAAAGTGTAAAGCACAGACGCATCTGGTGCATTTCTGACTCAGACAATCAGTTAAAGCAGAGTAACCCTGCTGTCTAACAGGCTGTCAATCATCATCTCCTCCCCCAATCACTGGTCTCTTAGCAAGCGAAGCCCCGCCTCTGTCTTACTGCTGCTCCCAGACTCCGCCCACAATGTGCACACATGTGGAAACGATCACATGGTTTGTAAAGGGTGACATTTATGGGGAACAACAGTGAGACACAAAAGCCTTCTGAAGGCAGGGCGGATCATAATGAGTTTTAATGACCTGAGATTATTTAAAGAGACTCAAGTGTGTTTATGCCAAGAGGAGAGGGATAAATCACTAGAATAAACCAGGTTAAACTAGTCCTGACAGCCTGTTAAACGAGCAGGGTTTAACCTCAGCAGCCGGACTGAGTGATGTCTCCGTCGGAGCTCTTGGTGACCTCCATGGTGGTGAATATCTGGAAATGAATGACGGGAAAAACATGTTATACTCAAAGGACTAAGAACATGAAATATCAGTAATATATTACGAAGCAGCAGGGTCACAGAAAGCGCACCTCAGCACATGTCGGGTGAATCCCGATGGTGTTGTCTAGCTGGTCTTTGGTAATTCCACATTTCATGGCGGCTCCGAAGCCCTGTGTGACCTCGCCAGCGTTAGGACCCAGATAGTGGAAGCCAATCACACGTTCCTGCACACAGACAGACAGACAGCAGTTAATACTCCTGAAGGTCTAGGACAGGGAGCGTAGCATCGAATCCAATGCAAATCATTCATACAACACATTTCTTAATGGAAATCAGTCACTGTCTGCTAGAAATGAGCCTGTGAAATGAACAAGTACATGATTTAAAGCCAAATTCACTGCATTTGCTAAATATGCATCATGCAAGCCAACAGATGGCATTAGATCACACACACACACACACCACCACCACCACCACGGTAAATATCAAACTAATAGTTAAAAAATGTTTAGAAAAAGTTCTAAATGTTATTTTTTCCTGGAATGGATTTTATTCCCCCAGTGGGCATTGAGAAAGTTATGAATAGTTATGAATATTAATAATTAACTGATGCATCAATTCAAATTGGTTTACAATTACAATCTATTTTCACAATTAAAATATTTAAACTCATTTTCCCCCAGTGGGCATTGAGAAAGTTATGAATAGTTATAAATATTAATAATTAACTGATGCATCAATTCAAATTGGTTGACAATTACAATCTATTTTCACAATTAAAATATTTAAACTCATTTGGAAAAAAATTTAACACTACAGCAAGATTTGTTAATACATTAGCTAACATTTTAACAGAATGCATGAATCCGTTAATGTTCATTATAAAAATGCAATTCTTCATGGTTCAGTGTTAGAAGATGCAACTTTTGACTTAAAATGTATTAGTAAAATATTGAAATTAAAAACAATGCTGTAGAAGCTAGTGTTAGTTTTCATAATTATATCCTATTAACACTATCTTTTATATTTTTCCATTTTAAGTTTTAGTAACTTTATGTGCTTTTGTCATTATATATATATATATATATTATTTCTATTTAGCTATCTTCCTAACCAAGTAAATGTAGTACTTCAACTTGTTTTTATATATATATATATATATATGTTCAACTTGCATTTTTGTAGTGTTCTTTTTTTTTTTTTTTTTTTTCGTTTCAATAATGCTGTGTTCATTTTTATTAGGCTTTTTCATATTTCTATTTAGATTTTCTAAATTCAAGTAATTTCAGTACATCAACCTAATTACATGTTTTCAACCGTTTATTTAGATTACTGAAACAATAATAGCTTTAGTTAACAATAACACTTGTAGAAGCACAGTTCATTGTTAGTTCAACTAATGTTAATGAATTAAACCTTATTGTAAAATGACTAAAATCCAGTTAAGTCACTAATTATGACTTAGAATCATAATGTTTCACAAACCAAACCACGTTCACATAGGATGAGGACAGTTATGCATGTCTTACGTTGTCAAGTTTATTGCAGATGATCTTGGCGTAGCACCTGTTGTTGTCCCGGCCGGGAACGGTGAACTCCAGAGGCCAGAACAGACTGTGATAGATCTGCAGAGACCAACACAATCACCAGAACATCATTAAAAGCACAGTCATCATCAGCACAGGTTATTAATATTTCCAGCCTGTTTGCAAACGCGCACCTCGAGGTTCTCCTGTCCGTAGAGCTCGACGGCCTTCTCCTCTGGGTAACCACAGCTGCCGTATTCCATCGGAGTGAAGACGGTGGTGGGAACGTTCACATAATCGCACTGAAACGACACACAGAGAGAGAAACAGGAACTGGTGAGATCGCAGAAAACCAACGGCTATTTACAGAGTTTAACCTAACGTTCATAACACATAAATCTAATGGGAATGGCAGGAATGGTTATGACAACGCCAGACCTTCAGAGATGCTCCAGCGAACAGTCGGCGAGCCAGAAGTTTCCCGGCCTGAATGGCCACAGGCGTCAGCTCCCACTTCCCCTCCAGGATGTCTCCAATGGCATAGATGTGAGGAACGCTGGTCTGCTCCTCATCGTTCACTGGGATCTTCCCGTTCCTGGACGGAGGAACAGAAAACGACTCATGTTAGCATTGGTAGAGCAAAATCCAAGTCTTGAAGACTTCATCTATTCCACACCAACAACAAACAGTGAAACAGAGTCCCAATTAAAAGTCCATTTCACACTTGGTTCTGATGCTTGATCCGAATCGGTTTACTTCCATTCCCTTCACAAATCTCTTTTCATGTTGTTGTGAAACGTTTGTGTCATTATTGTGAGCAGCAGGACCATATTCTACAATTCTTTTTCCTCATAACTTTTGCATCAATGTTTTTATTAATCTGTGTAGTAGTGTTGTCAAAAGACCCGGTATTTCGGTACCAAGTCGGTACTAAAAAAATGAAAACGTTACGGTACCAGGTTTTCTTAAGTGCCGATGGTACCGAGTACCCGGTCAACCCGGTTCTTGATGCGCTATCAGAAAGCTATCCTCTTCCAGTGTCGCCAAGTCCGCAGTTTTCCCACGGAATTGGGCTGCTTAACACTGTTGCCGCAGGTTGTTTTTCATGTCCGCGGGTTGAAAAACGACCCCACTAACGTGATATTTAGCCCCTGGAATGCGAATTTTACCAGGGGAACCCCGCCAAAACATGCGTATTTTATCCTCGGAACGAAAGTGTTTTTAATACTACAGTTTCCATCTATTTGATATACACTTAATATATGTAATCTTATCTAAATTTATTATAAAAGCTGAGGTTTGTTATTTACTGAAAAGTTATATTTTAGCTGGTGTCAATGATCTTATGTTGTATTTGGTCAGACTCAGTCCATTGCTTTACTGAAGTATATTATATTGTTCTTTTACAGCTGCAGACTGAGGAAGATCCTGAAACACACAGCAAACCCTAAAACAGACAACAGTTTACAGATGTTTTTCAGCGGCAGCAGAACTATGACTAAACTTTTGGGTGAAACTTGTTTACTTTTGTCATACTTTTATTACTTGTGGAAAAACTTGAAACACTTTTAAATAAGTATAAAGAATGGCATTGTTTTGTACATTTCATTTTTGTTTAACGTTATTAATAAAAATGTTGTTCAATTAGCATGTTTTTGTGTTTTGCTTTGGTACCGAGAACCGTGGATTTTCACTGGTATCGGTACCGAATACGGAAATTTTGGTACCGTGACAACACTACTGTGTATTCCTTACACTTGCATTTGCAACTAAAAATAGATATGCATCATCTGCGAAAGGTATTCAGGAGCATGTGTGCAAATTAAGCGTAGCTTTTTTTTGTCTCTGTGTCAGATTATGCGATTCTGACTCCTAAAATCATGTCGTGAACAACAAACATGTCAGACTACACGTTGCAATTAATCGCTTGCCGTCTTTAATGATGTGCGTGCTGTCATGGACTAGACAGAAGGTGCCATGAGCGTAAACAATGGCTCTGTCTTGTCGTCAGAAAAGCCCACAAATCTGGATTGCATGAAGAGGAGAGTATGGACTGTCTCGAGTATCGGTTTTCTTCCACCATGACAAACTACACGAGACGAAACGATTGAATCTTGTGTCCCCACGACACCCTACATCAAGCAGATCGTGTCAAAATTGGGCTAAAATCATGTAGTCTGAACTGAGCTTTAAAGTCCATCAGTCTTATGAAGTTTAAGATCATAAAAAGTCTAAATGTTGGTTGGATATATTTAAATGTACTGCCATATCAGCTTCATCTGCTATCACGTGGCAGATACAAATTAAACATTCAACAGCATAATATCATAAACACAACCTTTTAGAAAATTTTGACCTTATGCAGAAAGCCAAGTTGACGCATAATTCTATGAAAGATTCTTTAAATGCACAAAAAATTGAAAGTTTTTCTGGGTCCATAATTCAGTCTTTAAACATTTCCTTAAAAGTCTTAAATGATTTAATAAACATATTTTAGCAAGAAAAAAAAAATAAGAATCGCTTTTAACTTTAAAAGGCTATGATTTCATTTAACAAATATGAGCGCTGCACATTTCAACATATATATGCAGTGCGGCTGCGTGTTCACTGTGTGTGTGCATGTGTACGGTTTATACAGTTTAAGGTAGGCCTATAAATAATTACATAAATATTTGTTTCAAACTGTATTTAATAGTTAAAAACCATGTGCACTTTGTCATTGTGGCACAAATGCACCTTCAAGCCCCGAGTTTGTCTAAAGCCCAAATAAACCCTCTTGAGACTGCTGCAGAAAAATGAAACGAAAAATGCTTTGTAATATAACAGCCACATTACATCAACTTCAGCTCACTTCTGCAATCTAAGAAAACTGAGTGTTGCTGTAACTAATGCACAGTGACTTCTCAATGTACAGACACATTCTGTGGTACGTTAGAAACACACTGTGCATTACTAAACTGAAATGAGCAACTAAGTCAGCATTTCGAATCATAAATCTGTAAACGCTCAGCGAGTCGCTCATACAGAGGAACCATAAAAGAGCTGTGCATCACTCGCATATGCGTGAGGGTCATATGGAATCACATGATTCTACTTGAGAACGGATCTAAACCTCTGTGCTGCACTGATCTCTCAGACAGACTCAAACCACACACAGCTCACTTCAGTGTATGTGTGAATTAATGCGCATGAATGGAAATGTTCAGCTGAATTCATCCCGCCCCAGTGTACTCTATTAACACAGTCCGTGTGTCCTCTGGTCAGACGCTGGATGCACTTCTCAGTTCCCAGAGTTAATACTGCTGATTCACCGTGACACTCCGGAGCCCGCCTCTGACCCCACCCTCTCAAAAGCTACCACAACAACAAGGGAGGGAGGGACTATGAGGACAGATGACCAGAATAAACCATACAAAAGAAAGAGACATACTTGGCATTGACTTTAACTCCAGCCTTGTCCAGACCAATCTTTCCTGTACAGGCGTCACGACCCACTGCGATCAACACCTGCAGAGACACAGCAGCATTAGAAATACTAAAGGAATGTGACAATGCCGATTACCACAGAAACACCAGACTCCTCCCTCAGTTACAAAGAAAACAACAAATAATAATGAGCAAAGCATTGTTTAGTGGATCTAAGAGCACCCACAGGAATTACATCAAAACAGTAGTCTGTTTATTACAACTCAAAGGAAGGTTTATATTGAATAATTGATGCAAGAGCTTTAACAAAACTACGTGACATTATTGCTTTTAAACCCTCTGTAACTGCAATCTCATGCTCAGATTTCCCACTGACTCGAGCAGCTGGTGTCACACTAACCACATGATCCACTAACAAAGTGAAAATACTTTGTGCCTTCATTTCATCAAAACGAATGTAAAAATTTGAAAAGGGTGTTTGAAACAGCTCATGTTTTAATATGGTCTTCTAACACAAAAACACTAGGACGTTATGTACACGGTCTTAAAAATAAATGTATGAAGAACCACTTAAAGATACGTGCTCTGTTCCAAAACCTAGAGAGCTCCCTACAAATGTTGAGAAAAAATAAAAACATTTTTTTTTTTGGAAACAGAGAAATGATTTACTTATCAAGGATGCATTACATTGTTCAAAAGTGCCAATAAAGACATTTATAATGATACAAAGGATTTCCATTTCAAATAAATGCTGTTCTTTTGAACTTTCTATTGATCATATTTTTGTGGAAACTGATGCATTTTTCAGGATTCTTTAAAGCAGCACAACTGATTTCAACATTGATAATAATCAGAAATGTTTCTAGAGCAGCAAATCAGCATATTAGAATGATTTCTGAATGATATTTCTGAATGATATTAGAATGAAGACTGGAAGAATGATGCTGAAAATTCACAGCAATAAATTACATTTTAACAGATATTCACATAGAAAACAGTTATTTTAACTTGCAAGACTATTTCACAATATTACATTTAATTTAAACAAATAAATGCAGCCTTGGTGAGCAAAAGAGACTTCTATCATAAACATTCCACCGACCCCAAACTTTGTGCTGTGTGTCTTTGTATACACATTTATTTATATTTTCCCAATATTTGTGCAAGCTAAGTATTTTTATGCGAGTTAAATTTGTGATTCGAGTCTCCTGTATTTCCCATAAAGACGTCTATATGTACAGAGCTGTTTTCAGGCCACTTATGAGGTTTCAGTTCAGTCTGCTTTAGGAGATGTCGATGTAGGGTTAGGGTTGAAAACAGGACAGCTCACCAGTTTTGAAACATAGCCAGAGATAGCAGACAGCAGAAGATAAACCCGGATGCACTGCAATGATATCTGAAAGGAATTCCACTTTTTGGCCAACAGAAAGGCACACAGACATGATACTCACAGTGTTGTATTCCCCCTCAAAGATTGCATCACTCTCGGTTGATTTGGCCGTCACTTTAAGTCGGCCTGGAGTTCCAGCTTCTAGCTGCTCGATCTTTAGAAAAAAAAAGAAAAAAAAAAGAATGATCGTTTATCACCAACATAATGGAGTAAAGAGGCCATGATCATAATACTCCTAAAGAGCATTTCATAACCGCAGCTGCGATAGATAAAGCATCATTTCAGATTTCAGTAATGTTTAACAGCACACATGCACCAACCTTGGTAGGAACAAACTTCCTGAGGAATTTGACCCCGTGTGTCTCCATGCAATCTCCTGCACGGTTGGCCATGTCCTGATCGAATCCTCGCAGCAGAATGGAGCGAACCATGACGGTCACATCCAGCCCCAAACCGGCCAGAAACCCCCCGCACTCCAGAGCCACATACGACGCCCCGACGACAAGAGTCTTCCCGGGACAGTAGGGCAATGAGAACAGGTCATCGCTGCAAATAATGAACAAAACCAGTGAGGACACGACGTAGACTGATCATGTTTGCTCAAAAGGAGACAAAAGTTCAGACGTACAGTTAAACATCATAAACGCTGCCAAAGAGAAAAGTCAATATACTGAAAACCGCAGAGGCTTGAGTCTTGCCAAACACCTGCCACTCACTTCCTTATCAGATAAAAGATGAATGAACCATCAGGAAATCTCAGACGCGAGTCATAAAACAACACGCATGCACTCATCCTCAAAGGCCAAACTCTATTTGAAAGTTAACATCACTACGGCCTTGTTCAGACTGTCAGTTCAAATCCGATTTCTGTGCATATCCGATTGGAATCTGATCATATTTAGCAAGTAAGAATGGCCAAAAATTTTTACAACGGGCAGATTTGTACACATCCGTTTCAAGCTACATTCATATGTGGTTTGAAATCCTATTCAAATGCATTTCTGGAAATCCGTTTCCGTCTGACCGCTCAGATCGGATTTCACAGATTGTCACTTTCTCACGTCACGTAAAACAAACACATCTGACGTCTTTGCAGAAACAAGGCTGTGTTGTTGCAAACTGCAAGTAACGAGGAGAATGACAATATACTGCTGCTCTACACACCTCTGAGTTTTGAGACGGCAGCACAGAAAAAAGCCACACATTCCAGCTTTCCTACGTTTCTGCCGCTTCCTTATAAAACATAATATAATCCAGCACGACAGCAACATGTTGTCATGTTTTAAGACAACATTTCTTTTGCAAACTGTATTGCTGTTAATGTTGTTTTTAGCATAGGCAAACCAATGCAACGTCATTGCCATAGAAAACAATGCAGATATTCAGTTAAACGAAAAACAAATCAGATCTGAACTGTTGCGGTGCACAGTGTGGACAGTCAATCATTTAGATCGGATACGCAAATAATTTGGACTGACAGTCTGAACAAGGCTTATGCCATACTCAGCCCAAATGAGCAAATGTGCAAGTATGTTATTTAAAAACAAGTAACTACATGACCATCATACAGAAAGAAATCCTCCTCTTATTTGACACATCATTCAGTGGAAGCTTTCCTTCCCTTGGTGACTGAGAATGAATCAGCTTTAAATAAATAAATCCTGTAAATAAATCAGCAACGACCCCCCGAGGTCCAGCTGTGTTTATCCGGCTCTCCAGAGGGAGTTTACCGCGGTGAACTCAGAGTCTTATCTCACCTGGTGATGCAGTACTCTTTGTCTCCAGGGATGCCCAGATAACGAGGCCTCTCTCCCGTCGCCAGAACAAACTTAGCGGCAGTGTAGAACATCTCTTTCCCACGCTTGTTTGTGGCCTGTTGGGGAAGAGAAAAAAGTAAGACGAGGGCAGGTTTTGGCAGACTGTGATTTGCAATGCAACAGGCAACTTTTAGCATCTGATGCTGCTGCCATTTAGATTAAGTTACAAGAAAAACCAACACACACAGAAACAGCAGCTCTTCTATCCTGAGCAATGTCATTAAGGCATATTTTCCCATTTGTCCTCTGAATTTTAAAGTCACCAAACATGAAAGATTGCTGCTAATTCTCTGTTTGCTGGAAGCTAAACGTGTATTTGCATGCTCTTGGAAAAAAGAAGAAAGTCTTGGCGTGTCTCAATGGATAAAGCGGATGACCTCATGCCTTGCCTTAGAAAAGAATACCTATTTTTTGAAAAACAAACTTCATGTATTTTGGTCCATTTGAAAAGTGTTCTATGACTTTTTGGAGAGTCCAGATGGTGACTCCTTTGTTGAATTGATGGACATTAAAAGTATATAGACAAGCATGTTATTGCTGTATGGTCTTTTTTTCCCCAAGCGTATTGAGTTATCTTTTTATTTATGCATGTATTGTTATTATTACTTTTTGTTTATCCAGTTATAATGAAAAATTAAAATGATGTTTAAACCTGTGTGACAATGTATGACAAATACTGTTGTTCAAAAAAAAAAAAAAAATTTTCCAGTGTTTTAATGCTAAAAGGAATAATTAAATATGCCTTACACTTAAGCTATCAAACTAAAACATCCCTAGTGGAAAATAATCCAGTTGTCTTTGCATTCACATTATACCTGGACCTGTAGTGGACTTGGATCTCTTTTTTTTTTTTTTTTCTTCATCTTAGCTGTGACCGTTAGCTTTGCCTTCACAATGCATGCTGGGAACTGAATACAGCACGACTGGCTTGCTGGGTCAGAACACACTTGCCTTGATCTTGTGCGGCTCCACAAACTCAGCATAGGCGTTGACGTAATTGACGTTTTTGTCTCGTAGGGAAACTCTGTAGCCCCAGTTAAGTGAACCGATGTAGTTATTCACCGCGGTCCTCATCGTCTCCCAGTTGTGAGTCACTTTAATAAAAAGCCAACATTTGAGGAGAATGTGGATGAAAACAGGAGAAAGACAAAAATAAATCTACATTAAGACCAAGAAAGGGAAGCTCTTGAAAGCAAAAGCTTTGCAACACACTGAATTTTGTAATGATGATCACTCGTTCTGTGTATTTAGACGACTTCTGGTGTTAAATCTCACATCAACAATTCTTTCATTAAAGATATCGGTAACACTTTACAATAAGGTTCATTAGTTAACATGAACTAAGCATGAACAATACTTCAACAGCATTTATTAATGTTAGTTAATGTTCGTTTCAAGATTTACTAATGCATTATTAAAATCAAAAGTTGTGCTTTTTAGCATTAGTTAATGCACTGTGAATTAACAATGAACGACTATTTTTATTAACAAAATATTAACTAATATTAACAAAAATGTATAAATACTGTAATAAATGTATTGTTCATGTTAGTTAATACATTATATGTGACCCTGGAGCACAAAAGCAGTCTTAAGTCGCTGGGGGATATTTGTAGCTATAGCCAACAATACATTGTATAGGTCAAAATTATCGATTTTTCTTTTATGCCAAAAAACATTAGGATATTAAGTACAGATCATGTTCCATGAAGATATTTTGTAAAATTCCTACTGTAAATATATCAAAACTTAATTGTTGATTAGTAATATGCACTGCTAAGAACTTCATTTGGACAACTTTAAAGATGATTTTCTCAATATTTGGATTTTTTTGATTGACCCTTATGACTGGTTTTGTGCTCCAGGGTCACATATCAACTCTCATAATGGTCTTTCAAACAATTTCAATAAATATTCACAAGGCTGCAGTCACAGAATTAATAAAACTATGCTGAAACTTTCAGAGAAAGAGAAAATCAATCTGAAACTGAGAAGTCTTCAGAGCAGAAATCACAAAATTCACAAAATTGACATACGACCATAAAATCTGTACCGCATGAAGAATGCATGTTTACTTTTACTTCTTCTATTTCTTCTATCCAATGCATTAAATCATGTGAAGTCATTTTTGTCAGCCATCCATATCATGTACAGCTTCATATCTACGACTCACCCTGATCAGTGAATTCCCAGCCGAACTTGCGTGCGTCCTCCATGGCGGTACCCAGCAGAGCCGTTTGATGCATCAGTTTCTTAGGAATACAGCCCACGTTCACACATGTGCCTCCTAGACCTGCACAGAAACATCTTATCATCATCTTATTAGAAGTCAGTTTTGATTATACTTGCATGGTTTTGATTCCGGTTTTCTTACCCCAGGTTGTGCCCTTCGGTGTGGGAACAACATAATCCAGAACCATGACCTTCTTCCCCAAGGCGGCTGCTTCCTGTTTGGGCAGGAAGGGGAAGCGTTAAAATCAGATTCATGTGCAAAACCCACAGAAGGGTTGCTATAGTTTGGCTAAATTAATTTTTCCATGTCTGTATCAGAGTTTTACATGCACTATCAATATAATTATTTATATTTTTGATGACTTTGCTAGGAACATATGCAATACTATGCACCTGCATTTTTTTATTTGACAGTTTACTAAAAAGTGTCATTAGTGTTATTTGATTCATTTCTGTGAATCATTTTAAACTGTTTTTATTTCAATAAATCAATTCAAAACTAAAATATCCAAGAAAAAAAAAATATATATTTAATGTAGTTAGCAAATTATATGCAAATAAAAATAATAGTAAATATAAAATTCATACAAACATAAAAAAACTGTATAAAATATATAAATATATTTGTATATAAAAAAAATACTCCTGTTTAATTACTAGGTATTGCATACAGAAAAAAATATTTTTCTTTGTGTTAGTGTAAAACAGTGCCTCAAGTTGATTTTTACCTAAATTTGTATTTTACTTCTTGCAAGTCAAAAGCTAAAACATATATATTTTTTAAAACTGCTATAACACCAAGGCCTAAAACAGGGTTCATTTATGCAACTTAAGCATCTGAGATGACAAAGTGGCTCAACTGACCTGAATTCACCCCACACACACATACAGTATTTAATCAGCATCATAAATGAAGGACCTCTTTCTCAGTGTAATTTAACTCACCTTTGAGCAGGCCAGACCGCCAGAACCACCGCCAATGACGATGAGATCATAGTCGTACGCCTTACTGCCTTCACCCAGCAGCTTCTGCAGGTCGCCATCTTTGTGTGCCTGTTACCACGACAACCAACCCATCATTAGCAGGAGCATAAAAACGATGCTGATAAGAGGCACCGTGAAGAGGTGCTTCAGCATTATTCAGCTCGATTACCAAAGGTCTTCCCCACAGAGCTACTTTACACTCCGTTATGAAAGAGCTGACAGATCTACAGACAGATGCTTTATGCTTATGCACAGATTATGTGCATCCCAGACACAGAATGCCACATTTTAATGCAGATGGAGCATCTGGACTCAACGGTGCTACAAACAAACATGCTAAAATACTGTGAGAAGTTGCTCTTAATCATTTTAGGAATCGAGTCTGCCAATTTAAAGGTTACCAAGGTCAAGATACCTAGACGGCTAAAGGCCTGTTGAGAACAAACTCCAAAACAAATGATCACAGCTGCAAAAAAATGATTTGACATAAGGGTTGAAAAATTATATAAAAAAAAAAATTTAAAAAAAAGTTGAAGCCCTTCAGTTACATATTGAAAGCTATTTAGTTAGTTAAAAAATACTTGACACACCAGTTTTATTTTGAATATTTAATTATTTTAAACAATACTTGTAATATGTTTTAAAAAATATTTAAAGCATTTAAATAGAATCAACATCCTAGACATTAAAAGCCAAAATGTATAAAAAGCAGATTTATTATTATTATTAAAAATGCAATGTGTATCAAACTGGCAGCTAGATATTATTGTAATATCAAATCAGGAGGTCTATGGCGATTCCCAGCCATAATAATAACAGAAGACTTCATTTGCAAATACAGATAACTCCGTTTTTAACAATTCTCAGAAATCATGTTTTTTCATTGTGCATTCCAATTAATCTCAATCAAACTGCAGTTGGGTTATTTTGGCTAGGTTAAAAATAACTAAACAAAACAGCTAACTAACACAATAAAAACATAACAAAAAACATGATTTTTTAAAATGAAAAAAAAAAAAGAAAAAAAAAAAAGATCGGTTTTTGCAAATAAACTCTTCAACAGTAGTCACAACTAACAACTAAGATTCTTATATTTGACGTTGTTTAAAATCTCTCACACACACATTTTCAATCACATGCTGACACGTGAGATATTTCAGAGTGAAACTGACACATTTTAGAATAAAACCGACAGTCCTGCCCTGAATCATGATGACAGCAATTTAGTAAATTAAATGGGACAAAACACCATCTAGCAGACAGACGGGACATGCAGCAACATTTAATTGCCTTTTAATGACTAATAATTGATACTCACATCCCCGGTTTCACAGACAAGGCTTAAGCTCAGTCCCAGACTAAAATGCAAGTCTGAGCTGCTTCAACTGAAAGAAACTTGCACTGATTGATCTTAAAATGTGTCAGTGCCCTTGTTTTGTCTCAAGATGCACACCAGTAATGTTTTTTTTTTCTAAGGCATGTTCATAAAAATGACTTAAATGTCCTAATTGAACTATGGCCTAATCCTGGCTTAACCTAAGCCCTGTCTGTGAAACCAGGCCTTCATCTTCTACTTCAACAATCACGAAAGGGTGTGTGTGGGTGAGGCTTTTGCAGCAGAACGTCACTAACTCAGTCACGCATCCGCTCATGACCATCAGCTCAGCAAGAACTGCTTCATTTTAATACCAAATCCCCTTTGTTTGCCAAAAAATGTGTGTTTAATTTTCATTAATTAAAAGCTAAATTAACTTAATGTTTTATGCCTTCATTTGATAACCAGAAAAACAGAATTTCTGAGGAAAAAAAAAATCATAAGGCTATTGTAAGAATAAATAAATAATAATAATAATAATAATAATAATAAATAAAGTTGCTTTTATGCATTCAAATCATTAGAAATGCTAAAACACAGAATTTGGTAAGAATAAATCAAAACGTGAGAAAATTAAACATTACATAGGGCCCTAAACATGTATTTTTTGTTAAACTTTTAATAAACTGATGTTAAATTGTATAAGTTTCATGATATTAATTAATTAGACATGCTTTTTGATTAATATAAATTTAACCATTAAAAAAGAGTCCAGACAAAATCAAATGAAAAAAAAAAAAAAAAAAAATGAATTTGGGGAAAAAAAATTATAATATTAATACAGATTTCATAGGGCCCTGGATTGGACAATTGGCATTCCAAGAGTACTAATATTTAGTCCAACAACGCTAGCACTTTTCACTGTTTGCATTACTCCTCTTGTTTGCCATCTTCTTTAGTTTGGCAATTATATACAAAACTAAGTTTTCTGTCTGAAAAGCAAAATATTTTCAATATCAACCTCCTTTTTTTGTTCCTTGAACTTCAGTGCAAAACAAACATCACACAAGCATGAGTGCTGCTACTATATAACAGCACACCTGTGATTCAGCCACAGGCATGAGGCTGCAGGTAACCACAGCTGTCCTGATATTCAGAACAACATCACGACTGTGAGTGATATGATGCTTGAGTGTGTCTACTCCCTGCCAGAGGCAACGAATGAACACTTCTCTCTTTCGAATACTTATCTCTTTTTAAAGGCTACCTTAAATTTTCTCCTTTTGTTTTCATACAGCATAACACTTTGAAACGAGGTAAATAAGTAAATAAGGTGAATAAATAAAATTTAGTATTTTCATTTTCACTATTCCTTTAAAATATTCTGTATGCATAAAAAAAATTATTTATGACTCTAAAGAGAGCCTGGATGGGATTTTGGGCTGTCAAGCTTCCTGTTAGAAAAATGTTCTCAGAAAACAATTCTGCCAGTGTTTTCCTCGGAGTGAAGCTAAACCTCTGTTAATCTGTAATGTGTTAAACCCGTACCTGCTGGACTCCATCACTCATTAAAGAGTGTAAAATGTCACACGTTCAGTCCCAAACTCTTGAACATGCAAACATGGATGTGTTCAGTCATGTCTCAGGAAGGGCTATTGTATCTATTTTACTCAGCTTGTATCATGCAGATTGATAGTTCATTAGTTTATCTTGGTTATATTGCAAGGTTATAAAAACCATGCAGCTTTCCTTAACGGTTTAATTTTTTTTTTCTGGGTTTCTTATGTACAGAACTGAAGAGGAAGTGTAATGGACGTTCGTCATTGGAGACAGGGTGGGATATGAGCACATAATATGATTGACATATGAGCAGCGAAGAGAAAACACAGGCAGACAGTGCTGGACGCAGCTAATGCTCATCAATAAATCAGTGGGAAATTAATAGAAATTATGATTTTGTCGGAGCCATGCGATTTAAAACGAAAATGCAGTAGTGTAAACACACCCTAAAAGATGTGGAAACTGAAAACTATTTTAACTTTGTTAAACCATTTTGCACTGATTTATTGTGTTGATTACATTTTGTTCCTTTGTGCAGTGGCTCAGGAGATGAGTTTTTGAGTCTGAGAAACGTCAACAAGCTGAAAAAAACAAACGTTTGTTGTTTTTTTTGAGGTAACGTGTAATGTAATCTTGTTAAAACAAATTTCATAAAAATTGGTACAGAAAAAAGTAGCGTTCAGGAACCGGTATTGAAGACAAGGTATTGGTATCGGTATCGGTATCGATATTGAACATTTTTGAATGACACTCAGCCCAAGGCAAGACTCAGCAATGAACAACAATCTGGCAATAAAAAAAATTAAACTTTAGAAAGAAAGATGCCTGTCTTGGGCCTCTTGTTTGTTCTTTCATCAGTCAGTGATCCAAACGGATCATAGGTTCTGCCAATCAGAAGGCATTATGAGGCAGGCACCCAATGGTAAGTCAGAGTCGCTGAGGAGGTGACAACACACAGATGCACTTCACACCCGTCCTTGCATTCCAGAGCTGAGCATCGCTAGGATACCACAGCAAGAACGCTCAGGGACCCTGCGGAGGTCTGACCAAACCACTAATACTCAAATATAATCCCAATGACTTTATCTGAGCAAGCACAACAGGCTCCCAGTCTGTCAGCTTCTATTTAAAACTGAGAAAATGCATTGTCCAACTGCTTATGCAGCAATTACACTTGTCTCGCTCCACAAAAATGCTTTTAACCCACTTGTTCATGTTTCATTTGTAAGCTGAGCTTTATGATGGTATAAATGTGACAGTAAAAATGTGACAACTGACAGATATTTAGTGCCCCATGAAATTTGTATTCTTTTTTGAATTTTCTGAATTCTGTTTCGATGGGTATATTTTGGTAATCAAAAAGCATCTCTAATTAACTGAAATAATTAATCTTTCACAATTTAACAACTATTAATTAAAGGTCTAACAAAAATTACATTTTAGGGCCCTGACCCTTATGACTGGTTTTGTGCTCCAGGGTCACATATCAACTCTCATAATGGTCTTTCAAACAATTTCAATAAATATTCACAAGGCTGCAGTCACAGAATTAATAAAACTATGCTGAAACTTTCAGAGAAAGAGAAAATCAATCTGAAACTGAGAAGTCTTCAGAGCAGAAATCACAAAATTGCATCACAACACATACGACCATAAAATCTGTACCGCATGAAGAATGCATGTTTACTTTTACTTCTTCTATCTTCTATCTGCAATGCATTAAATCATGTGAAGTCATTTTTGTCAGCCATCCATATCATGTACAGCTTCATATCTACGACTCACCCTGATCAGTGAATTCCCAGCCGAACTTGCGTGCGTCCTCCATGGCGGTACCCAGCAGAGCCGTTTGATGCATCAGTTTCTTAGGAATACAGCCCACGTTCACACATGTGCCTCCTAGACCTGCACAGAAACATCTTATCATCATCTTATTAGAAGTCAGTTTTGATTATACTTGCATGGTTTTGATTCCGGTTTTCTTACCCCAGGTTGTGCCCTTCGGTGTGGGAACAACATAATCCAGAACCATGACCTTCTTCCCCAAGGCGGCTGCTTCCTGTTTGGGCAGGAAGGGGAAGCGTTAAAATCAGATTCATGTGCAAAACCCACAGAAGGGTTGCTATAGTTTGGCTAAATTAATTTTTCCATGTCTGTATCAGAGTTTTACATGCACTATCAATATAATTATTTATATTTTTGATGACTTTGCTAGGAACATATGCAATACTATGCACCTGCATTTTTTTATTTGACAGTTTACTAAAAAGTGTCATTAGTGTTATTTGATTCATTTCTGTGAATCATTTTAAACTGTTTTTATTTCAATAAATCAATTCAAAACTAAAATATCCAAGAAAAAAAAAATATATATTTAATGTAGTTAGCAAATTATATGCAAATAAAAATAATAGTAAATATAAAATTCATACAAACATAAAAAAACTGTATAAAATATATAAATATATTTGTATATAAAAAAAATACTCCTGTTTAATTACTAGGTATTGCATACAGAAAAAAATATTTTTCTTTGTGTTAGTGTAAAACAGTGCCTCAAGTTGATTTTTACCTAAATTTGTATTTTACTTCTTGCAAGTCAAAAGCTAAAACATATATATTTTTTAAAACTGCTATAACACCAAGGCCTAAAACAGGGTTCATTTATGCAACTTAAGCATCTGAGATGACAAAGTGGCTCAACTGACCTGAATTCACCCCACACACACATACAGTATTTAATCAGCATCATAAATGAAGGACCTCTTTCTCAGTGTAATTTAACTCACCTTTGAGCAGGCCAGACCGCCAGAACCACCGCCAATGACGATGAGATCATAGTCGTACGCCTTACTGCCTTCACCCAGCAGCTTCTGCAGGTCGCCATCTTTGTGTGCCTGTTACCACGACAACCAACCCATCATTAGCAGGAGCATAAAAACGATGCTGATAAGAGGCACCGTGAAGAGGTGCTTCAGCATTATTCAGCTCGATTACCAAAGGTCTTCCCCACAGAGCTACTTTACACTCCGTTATGAAAGAGCTGACAGATCTACAGACAGATGCTTTATGCTTATGCACAGATTATGTGCATCCCAGACACAGAATGCCACATTTTAATGCAGATGGAGCATCTGGACTCAACGGTGCTACAAACAAACATGCTAAAATACTGTGAGAAGTTGCTCTTAATCATTTTAGGAATCGAGTCTGCCAATTTAAAGGTTACCAAGGTCAAGATACCTAGACGGCTAAAGGCCTGTTGAGAACAAACTCCAAAACAAATGATCACAGCTGCAAAAAAATGATTTGACATAAGGGTTGAAAAATTATATAAAAAAAAAAATTTAAAAAAAAGTTGAAGCCCTTCAGTTACATATTGAAAGCTATTTAGTTAGTTAAAAAATACTTGACACACCAGTTTTATTTTGAATATTTAATTATTTTAAACAATACTTGTAATATGTTTTAAAAAATATTTAAAGCATTTAAATAGAATCAACATCCTAGACATTAAAAGCCAAAATGTATAAAAAGCAGATTTATTATTATTATTAAAAATGCAATGTGTATCAAACTGGCAGCTAGATATTATTGTAATATCAAATCAGGAGGTCTATGGCGATTCCCAGCCATAATAATAACAGAAGACTTCATTTGCAAATACAGATAACTCCGTTTTTAACAATTCTCAGAAATCATGTTTTTTCATTGTGCATTCCAATTAATCTCAATCAAACTGCAGTTGGGTTATTTTGGCTAGGTTAAAAATAACTAAACAAAACAGCTAACTAACACAATAAAAACATAACAAAAAACATGATTTTTTAAAATGAAAAAAAAAAAAGAAAAAAAAAAAAGATCGGTTTTTGCAAATAAACTCTTCAACAGTAGTCACAACTAACAACTAAGATTCTTATATTTGACGTTGTTTAAAATCTCTCACACACACATTTTCAATCACATGCTGACACGTGAGATATTTCAGAGTGAAACTGACACATTTTAGAATAAAACCGACAGTCCTGCCCTGAATCATGATGACAGCAATTTAGTAAATTAAATGGGACAAAACACCATCTAGCAGACAGACGGGACATGCAGCAACATTTAATTGCCTTTTAATGACTAATAATTGATACTCACATCCCCGGTTTCACAGACAAGGCTTAAGCTCAGTCCCAGACTAAAATGCAAGTCTGAGCTGCTTCAACTGAAAGAAACTTGCACTGATTGATCTTAAAATGTGTCAGTGCCCTTGTTTTGTCTCAAGATGCACACCAGTAATGTTTTTTTTTTCTAAGGCATGTTCATAAAAATGACTTAAATGTCCTAATTGAACTATGGCCTAATCCTGGCTTAACCTAAGCCCTGTCTGTGAAACCAGGCCTTCATCTTCTACTTCAACAATCACGAAAGGGTGTGTGTGGGTGAGGCTTTTGCAGCAGAACGTCACTAACTCAGTCACGCATCCGCTCATGACCATCAGCTCAGCAAGAACTGCTTCATTTTAATACCAAATCCCCTTTGTTTGCCAAAAAATGTGTGTTTAATTTTCATTAATTAAAAGCTAAATTAACTTAATGTTTTATGCCTTCATTTGATAACCAGAAAAACAGAATTTCTGAGGAAAAAAAAAATCATAAGGCTATTGTAAGAATAAATAAATAATAATAATAATAATAATAATAATAAATAAAGTTGCTTTTATGCATTCAAATCATTAGAAATGCTAAAACACAGAATTTGGTAAGAATAAATCAAAACGTGAGAAAATTAAACATTACATAGGGCCCTAAACATGTATTTTTTGTTAAACTTTTAATAAACTGATGTTAAATTGTATAAGTTTCATGATATTAATTAATTAGACATGCTTTTTGATTAATATAAATTTAACCATTAAAAAAGAGTCCAGACAAAATCAAATGAAAAAAAAAAAAAAAAAACTGAATTTGGGTAAAACCAAAGGGTGAATATATATATATATATATATATATATATAGAAATAATCTGTTATTCCCATCAGCTGAAGAACAGAACAGACAGTAACCAGCACAGCCTGCATGCACTTCATTTCACTCATTAGCACAAAAGTCATTTGATTCCTCTTCTAATATGCAAAAGGATAAAAAGTTATTGTGCTCTTACCCATCAGGTCCAGCTCTACTGCATTACACTTGACATTCAGCTCTTTAAAGAGCTCCTTCACCTGGAATTAAAGAAAACTATACATGTTAATTATTCAACAAGCCTTCAAACACTTTAGCAGAAAAATACCCATTACAGCTTTTTAAATGCATGAGTCATGAGTATCTCACTATCAGTGAAGTACTTGGGCAACAGAAACCAAGCTTCAAGTTCATGGAACGTGAGGTGGTCAAGACTATTCAAGATCCATGACATGTTACGTGCAAAACCACAAATGAGGAAAATCATTTAGGCTGTGGTAAAATGAGGGTTATCTATACATACTATACATACATCTGAATCCTTCACAACCTGCTGGTTTATTTTCCATCACTAGTTTGGAAAGCACATCACATTCGCCATTCTGCTTACAATGACTATAGATTAACCTCCATCCCAAAGTCTAAAACGCAATAATTTCTATGAAAACACTAATCTCCATTAACTTTAAGGGTATTTCCAAAAGCAGTTTTGTACTCCGCGCACAGCTGTCCTTCTGCACTCCGACACACACTTAAAGGTGACATATCACGAAAATCTGACTTTTCCAGGTTTTAAGTGCTATTATCAGGTCCCCGGTGCATCTACCAACCAAGGAAACATGAAAAAGATTAACCCAATCACTTTGTTTAGGTAAGCCTTTTTCTGCAAGCGTCTGAGAAAACAAGCGCCTCTGATTTCGCTCCCTTGGTGACGTGGCACAGGGATCTCATTATGATATTACCGCCCCTTAATCTGTAAACTTCCACTCAAGGTACCGTCATTTTGATTTCGCAAGCGACAACGGTGTACCAGCTCTAATGACATGGAGAAAGTTTGAGCAAAACATGCAAACCGTTCTGTGTTTGGCTGCAGAGACGAGCACAGAACACTGTTTATAGAGTCCCAGCCTCAGACGAGACAACAGAGCAGTGCATTTATTGATTTATTTACTGTATATTGCTGCTGATACACAGATCTGGATTTTACAGCAGATACGAGCTGTAAAGGTGCAGCTCTATTCTGGAAAAGGGGGCAGAGCAGCAGCAGCTCATTTGCATTTAAAGACACAGGCCCGAAAAAAAAAAGTTTCTGCTTCCACTCAAAATAGGCATTTTCAAAATTATATAATAAATGATCTGTGGAGTACATAGGGCTGTGTATCACCAGCAAAGTCACGATACGATACGTATCACGATACATATGCCACGATACGAATCAC